CACTTTTGATGTCCTCCACTTTTCCTGCTGTATGATGGTATCACCTCTTAAGTATGTTGTTTACTATATAAAGATTGATGGATTCTATAAGGTTCAACATTAAAGCGGACACTTGATCTTGATGTTGTGCAATGCGGCCTTGCAGTTTATGTTGAATGCGGTTGACGTCCTGGGAGAACAGCGTCTGATAAAACTGCTCAAATATCGTTCTCATATTGAATGGCAGCTTCCTCAGCCTGGTGGCCATACCTAAGCTTTAGTTCCTGCTGCTGCTGACATCATCCTTTACCACCTCCATTATGCACTTTCCGATGATCTGCCTCAGCACTTCCCCACCCCTATGGTAGTCTGGATTCTTATCCCAGGGAATGGGAGCAGCAGGCCGTCAGAGCATGGAGGTGTTGGCTGCTGGATGCAACTTTCTTGCAGGACGGCAATGGCAGTGCAGGAATGCTTGCTGCAGGGCCAGCATTGGTGCTGAGGATGACCTCAGCCGTTTGCATCCAGACCTGAAGGGCCGGCCTCCCTGAGTCCTTCAGTGCCTTTTTTCCCTACATCCCTCCTGTTGTTTTCTTGAACAGTACCAGTATTTGGTGGGATATAGGCACCCTGGGTGCCTTTACTTGCAGGGGGATGTTGCTGCTTTCTCAGTTGTTTTAATGTCTCTCTGTCTATTAGCAGAACTCCACTGGAGGAATTCTCTGTGAAGATCTTACCGCCAAGACACTTTTCCCCACATTTGTTTTGAAAAGAAAACTTTCTTGCAACGTCATCGGTGTTTTTGCTTCCGTCTTCACAAATTTAGTCTCTCCTGCAGTGTGCCTTCATAGGGAGATCATCAAGGGCCCCCATTCTGCATTGTCAATCTTCTCTTCATTAGCTCACATTTTCTTCGTGCTTGAAATGTGCATGTGTGTCCTCTGACAGAATAGATGTGTGTATGCAGTATGAAAATGAAACAGTCTGGTACTCCCAGTCATGAGGTGAATCATCTCCCGAATCATTTTCTTTGGTGGCCGCACACTTGGGTGGTTCAATGAGTTAGTTGGCGACCACCTGACAGATGAAGTTTCTTCTTATATGTCAGCATTTTCCCATCGACATACTTATTTCCTGTGGTGGCTGTCTCTCCATTACCTCGTGGACATCAGCTACTATTGGAGCAGCGTTTATTAGTGCTACATTTTTCAGGTTGAGTAGACTCACTGCTATCATTTAGGATCATCGAGAACGGTTGGGTCGGCGATAGCCACTGCAGCCTCCTAATGTCGGCTCTACCATGGCGGGTTCCGACAATTGTTTCCCTTTCTGCAAACCCACACAGAATGGGATTTGTTTCTCGCACATTCACAGCTAGTGCATTTTGGTCCTGTGCTAGACCCAGCAATGTCTCTGTTGCGGCATAGTGTTCCCGCACCTTGGGCGACAGTTAAATCACCTCCGACATCTGCTTTGGTCTATACAGAAAAACTAGTTCTTATAATTAAAAGGGCAGAGGTGACTGGCTGTACTACCGTGTCCGGGTGACAGGGGCGTATGTTAGCGCGCGTGGTGTGTAGCCCGTGGGCGACAATCCACACATCAGAGATGATGCACTAGAACCAGGTGCCACACCTAACACTTGTTTATATGGCAGCCAGTAACTTTTCTATGAATTCGCACTGATGTAATATGGCTATATATACTCACTTGGTCGGCCGACACTACATGGGTATTATTACCGTTACTTGTGGAGGGGGGAGGGGCGACCGTAAGTGTGGGGGCGCGGCACCATGGGCGAGTCTCGATGCCACCCCTGTAAAAAACAGGACTATCGACACTGGCACTGGCACCTGCAATAGCCGTCCAGTAAATAACCTGAAACTCGCTTGTTGACATAGTGAACACAGAATATTTGTGATTATGCCATCAAGGGAAAGAACTATTCAGTGACAATGCAAGGGTGACATCATTCATTCACCATTGCTGCATTCCCTCTCCACACTCCCAATATGTTCCACAAACACTGTAGATTGAATTGTAACAGAATTGAATTGTAACAGTTTATTTAAGAAAAATACAGATACAGAGTGGATAATAATAACAATATTAACATGGCTGAGCCAGTTGAGAACCTGAGCTCTCTTTGAGGCACCTGATATATACTATACATTTATCTCAACTACTACTGTACTACAACTACTACTGCTACTCCTGTACTACTACTACTACTCACCAAGGTACAGTGTTACAGCAAGGGTCTGTATTCAGTAAGAAACCAAATAAATGGGTTAATTTTGGGGGGCTTTCAGTACGGTGACAGCGGTGTGAAAACGGAGCTGGGGGTATGTGTCAGGAGGGGCTATTGTAGACTGGAGGGACTATTGTAGATTGGGCGGAGGCTATTTTAGACGGGTGAGCGGGGGGCTATTGTAGACTGGAGGACTATTGTGATTGGGGCGGAGGCTATTTTAGACAGGGTGAGCGGGGGCTGTGTAGACTGGAGGGGACTATTGTGGAGTGGGGCGGAGGCTATTTTAGACGGGTGGGCAGGGGGGGGCCATTGTAGACTGGAGGGGACTATTGTGTGGGTGGGGCGGGGCTATTTTAGACGGGTGAACAGGGGGCTATTGTAGACTGGGGCAGGCTGGTGTGAGCTGGAGGAACTATTGTTGGGTGGGGCGGGGCTATTTGGACGGATGAACGGGGGCTTTTGTAGACTGGAGAACTAGGTGGGGCGGGGGCTATTTTAGACGGGTGAACAGGGGGCTATTTTAGACGGGTGAAGGGGGGCTATTGTAGACTGGGGCAGGTTATTGTAGATGGGGCGGGGCTACTGTAGACTGAGGGGACTATGTGGAGCTGAGGGGCTATTGTAGACAGGGGATTTGTAGATGGGGGAGTGTGGGGCTATGTAGACTGAGGGGGCAGGGGACTATTGACTGGGAGGATGTGGGGCTATTGTATTTTTTTGGGGTGCAGGGGCTGTAAATTGAAGGAGAGATCGGAGGACTGCTGTAGGTGTAATTAAGGTCTATTTTGTAGTAGCCTTCTGAGGACTGTTATCTGATTGGGGACTTTAAATATCGTTATGGGACTATTGTAACGTCACTGGGGACTACAATAGCTTTAATGGGGGATATGGGGACTGATATAGACCCCAAGGACTCTTTTTTTTCTAGTCTTCGTGGTAACTACCGTGGGGACTACCGTAGCCTGAGTGGAGACTACTGTAAGACGTGGAGCAAGTCATAAGTCTCCGTTTTCTATACCAGGGACTGTTATAAACCTCTTAAGAAAACGGATTGGTATTTTGACCTGATTTGATAGAGTGGTGGTTTTGGTGGTAATGGTTGTGGTGGTGGTGGTTGTGGTGGTAATGGTTGTGGTGGTAATGGTTTGTTGGTGGTGGTGGTTGGTGGTAATGGTTGTGGTGGTGGTGGTTGTGGTGGTGGTGGTTATGGTGGTGGTTAGTTGTGGTGGTAATGGTTGTGGTGGTAATGGTTGTGGTGGTGGTGGTTGTGTGGTGGTGGTGGTTATGGTGGTGGTAGTTGTTGGTGGTAATGGTTGTGGTGGTAATGGTTGTGGTGGTAATGGTTGTGGTGGTGGTGGTGGTTGTGGTGGTAATGGTTTGTGGTGGTAATGGTTGTGGTGGTGGTAGTGGTTGTGGTGTGTAATGGTTGTGGTGGTAATGGGTTTGTGGTGGTGGTGGTGGTGGTTGTGGTGGTAATGGTTGTGGTGGTAATGGTTTGTGGTGGTGGTAGTGGTTGTGGTGGTAATGGTTGTGGTGGATAATGGTTGTGGTGGTAATGGTTGTGGTGGTGGTGGTTATGGTGGTGGTGGTTATGGTGGTGAGAGTGGTTGTGGTGGTAATGGTTTGTTTGGTGGTGTGGTAGTTTTTGGTGGTGGTTGATGGTGGTAATGGTTGTGGTGGTAATGGTTATTAGTTAGTAATGGTTGTGAGGTGGTAATGGTTTGTTTTGGTGGTGGTGGTGGTGGTTTTGGTGGTAATGGGTTGTGGTGGTAATGGTTTGTTTGGTGGTGGTGGTTGTGTGGTGGTAATGGTTGTGGTGGTAATGGTTATGGTGGTGGTGGTGGTTGTGGTGGTAGTTTGGTAGGTGGTAATGGTTGTGGTGAAATTAAATGGTTTATTGGTGGTAATGGTTGTGGTGGTAATGGTTTGTGGTGTGGTTTGTGGTGGTATGGTTGTGTGGTGGTGGTGTGGTGGTTGTGGTGGTGGTAGTTGGTGGTTGTTACTGTAGTAATTCTGAAGTCCTGTACTGTGCTTAAGAATAATCCCATCACCTCCCCATTGGTTGAGAATCGCCTTAATGCACTCCGATTGGTCGAGAATCGTGTAATGCACTCCCATTGGTCGAAGATATTCACCACCCTCCAGTCGAGAGTCGTCTTAATACACTCCCATTGGTCGAGAGTCGTCTTAGTACACTCCCATTAGTCGAGAGTCGTCTTAATACACTCCCATTGGTCGAGATCGTCTAATACCTCTCATTGGTCGAGAGTCGTCTTAATACACTCCCATTGGTCGAGAATCGTCTTAATACACTTTGGTCGAGAGTCGTCTTAATACACTCCCATTGGTCGAGAATCGTCTTAATACACTCTCATTGGTCGAGTCGTCTTAGTACTACTCCGGTCGAGAGTCGTCTTAATACACTCCCATTGGTCGAGAATCGTCTTAATACTCTCATTGGTCAAGTCGTCTTATACTACACTCATTGGTCGAGAGTCGTCTTAATACACTCTCATGCCGAGAATACCTTACCTCTCATTGGTCGAGTCGTCTTAATACACTCTCATTGGTCGAGTAATACTCTACCTTACCTCATTGGTCGAGAGTCGTCTTAATACACTCTCATTGGTCGAGAATACTCTACAACACACTCTCATTGTGAGAGTCGTCTTAATACACTCTCATTGGTCGAGAGTCATCTTAATACACTCTCATCGGTCGAGAGTCGTCTTAATACCTCCCATTGGTCGAGAATACTCTACCTTACCTCTCATTGGTCGAGAGTCGTCTTAATACTCTCATGGTCGAGAGTCGTCTTAATACCTCCATTGGTGCGAGTCGTCTTAATACACTCTCATTGGTCGAGAATACTCTACAACACACTCTCATTGGTCGAGAGTCGTCTTAATACACTCCATTGGTCGAGACTCTACAACACACTCTCATTGGTCGAGTCGTGTAATACACCCATTGGTCGAGAATCATCTTAATACACTCTCATTGGTCGAGAATACTCTACAACACACTCATTGGTCGAGTCGTCTTAATACACTCCCATTGATCGAGACTCTACAACACACTCTCATTGGTCGAGAGTCGTCTTATACACTCATTGGTCGAGAGTCGTCTTAATACCTCCCATTGGTCGAGAGTCGTCTTAATAACTCCCATTGGTCGAGAGTCGTCTTAATACTCTCTTGGTCGAGAATACTCTACAATACCTCCCATTGGTCGAGTCGTCTTAATCACTCATTGGTCGAAATCATCATACACTCTCATTGGTCGAGTCGTCTTAATACACTCTCATTGGTCGAGAATGCTCTACAACACACTCTCATTGGTCGATGAGTCGTCTTAATACACTCTCATTGGTCGAGAGTCGTCTTAACAGGTCGAGTCGTCTTAATACACTCTCATTGGTCGAGGAAGTCGTCTTAATACACTCTCATTGGTCGAAGTCGTCTTAACCACTCTCATTGGTCGAGAGTCGTCTTAATACACTCTCATTGGTCGAGAGTCGTCTTAATACACTCTCATTGGTCGAGTCTCAAATACTCTCATTGGTCGAGAGATCTCATTTGTAGAGTCGATTCATTGGTCGAGAGTCTCATTGGTCGAAGTCGTCTACATTGGTCGAGAGATCTTCTCACTCTCATTGGTCGAGTCGTCTTAATACCATTGGTCGAGAGTCGTCTTATACACTCTCGTGAATCTTCTTATACACTCTCATTGGTCGAGAGTCGTCTTAATACTCCCATTGGTCGAGAATCCTAATATACTCTCATTGGTCGAGAGTCGTCATATACTACTCATTAGTTGAGAGTCATCTTAATACACTCTCATTGGTCGAGAATACTCTACAATACACTCCCATTGGTCGAGAATCGTCTATACACTCTCATTGGTCGAGAGTCGTCTTAATACACTCTCATTGGTCATGCAACGGTCGAGAATCTTCTGGTCGAAGTCGTCTTAATACTCCCATTGGTCGAGAATCTTCTTAATACACTCTCATTGGTCGAGAGTCGTCTTAATACACTGTCATTGGTCGAGTCGTCTTAATACACTCCATTGGTCGAGATCGTCTTAATACACTCCCATTGGTCGAGTCGTCTTAATACACTCTCATTGGTCGAGAATACTCTACTGTAGAATCGTTTTAATACACTCTCCATTGGTCGAGAGTCGTGTATCACCTCTCATTGGTCAAGAGTCGTCTTAATACCTCTCATTGGTCGTCTTAATACACTCATTGGTGAATCGTCTTAATACACTCTCATTGGTCGAGAGTCGTCTTAATACACTTCTCATTGGTCGAGAGTCGTCTTAATACACTCTCATTGGTCGAGAGTCGTCTTAATACCTCATTGGTCGAGAGTCGTCTTAATACACTCCCATTGGTCGAGAGTCGTCTTAATATACTTCCCATTGGTCGAGAGTCGTTTTAATACTTCTCATTGGTCGAGAATACCTACAACACACTTCCATTGGTCGAGAATCGTTTTAATACATCTTCATTGGTCGAGAGTCGTCTTAATACACTCTCATTGGTCGAGAATACTCTTACAACACACTTCCATTGGTCGAGAATCGTTTTAATACACTCCCATTGGTCGAGAGTCGTCTTAATACACTCTATTGGTCGAGAGTCGTCTTAATACACCTCATTGGTCAGAGTCGTCTTAATATACTCTCATTGGTCGAGAGTCGTCTTAATACACTCTCATTGGTCGAGAGTCGTTTTAATACACTCCTATTGGTCGAGAATCGTTTAATACACTCTCATTGGTCGAGAGTCGTCTTAATACACTCCCATTGGGTCGAGAGTCGTCTTAATACACTCCCATTGGTCGAGAGTCGTCTTAATACACTCCCATTGGTCGAGAGTCGTCTTAATACACTCCCATTGGTCGAGAGTCGTCTTAATACACTCCCATTGGTCGAGAGTCGTCTTAGTACCTCCCATTGGTCGAGAGTCGTCTTTAGTACACTCCCATTGGTCGAGAGTCGTCTTAGTACACTTCATTGGTCGAGAGTCGTCTAATACACTCTCATTGGTCGAGAATACTCTACAACACACTTCCATTGGTCGAGAGTCTCTTAATACACTCCCATTGGTCGAGAGTCGTCTTAATACACTCATCTGGTCGAGAGTCGTCTTAATACACTCCCATTGGTCGAGAGTCGTCTTAATACACCCCATTGGTCGAGAGTCGTCTTAATACACTCCCATTGGTCGAGAGTCGTCTTAATACCTCCATTGGTCGAGTATACTTACAATACCTCCCATTGGTCGAGAATACTCTACAATACACTCCCATTGGTCGAGAATACTCTACAATACACTTCCCATTGGTCGAGAGTCGTCTTAATACACTCTCATTGGTCGAGAGTCGTCTTACACTCTCATTGGTCGAGAATACTCTTACAACACACTTCCATTGGTCGAGAATCTTCTAATACACTCTCATTGGTCGAGAGTCGTCTTAATACACTCCCATTGGTCGAGAGTCGTCTTAATACACTCCCATTGGTCGAGAGTCGTCTTACACTCCCCATTGGTCGAGGTCGTCTTAATACACTCTCATTGGTCGAGAGTCGTCTTAATACACCCCATTGGTCGAGAGTCGTCTTAATACACCCCATTGGTCGAGAATCTTCTTAATACACTCTCATTGGTCGAGAATCGTCTTAATACACTCCCATTGGTCGAGAGTCGTCTTAATACACTCTCATTGGTCGAGAATACTCTACAACACACTATTGGTCGAGAGTCGTCTTAATACACTCTCATTGGTCGAGAGTCGTCTTAATACACCTCCATTGGTCGAGAGTCGTCTTAATACACTCCCATTGGTCGAGAATCTTCTTAATACACCTCATTGGTCGAGTAATCGTCTAATACACTCCCATTGGTCGAGTCGTCTTAATACACTCTCATTGGTCGAGAATACTCTACAACACACTCTCATTGGTCGAGAGTCGTCTTAATACATTCTCATTGGTCGAGAGTCGTCTTAATACACTCTCATTGGTCGAGAATACCTACAACACACTTCCATTGGTCGAGAATCGTCTTAATACACTCTCATTGGTCGAGAGTCTTCTAATAATACTCTCTATTGGTCGAGAGTCGTCTAATACACTCTCATTGGTCGAGAGTCGTCTAATACCTCCCATTGTCGAGAATCGTCTTAATACACTCCCATTGGTCGAGAGTCGTCTTAATACACCCCATTGGTCGAGAGTCGTCCACACTCATTGGTCGAGAATACTCTACAACACACTTCCATTGGTCGAGAATCGTATTAATACACTCCCATTGGTCGAAAATCGTCAACGTGAATGCTTATTGGTCGAGGAGGATCATTAAGCGCGCTCATTAGTGGTTATTTTCCCGTATGCTCATTGGTGGATTGCCTCATTAGGGAATTTCTTGCCCAGCGCGCTTATTGGTTGATAATAATCGTCCTTTTGCCATTTTCGAACCAACCAATCAGCTCATTAGGTGAGTACCCGTCACTTCCTATTGGTGGTATACAATCCTTAATTCGTCGTCTTTGTTCGTTCGTATTTCCGTTCATCTGTGTGTGTGTGTGTGTGTGTGTGTGTGTGTGTGTGTGTGTAAATAATAAATAATAATAATAATTAACGGTTTATTAAGATAACATGACAGCCCGAAGGCTGAAAATATACAATGAACAGGGGTGATAAGTTACATATGGTGGAATCGGGGAGTGTGTGTGTGTGCGCAGGCGCGCGTGTGTGTGTGTGTGTGTGTGTGTGTGTGTTTGTGTGTGTGTGTGTGTGTGTGTGTGTGGGAGGTGTGTGTGTTTGTGTGTGTGTGTGTGTTTACAGCCAAAATAGCCGGTACACAGGAAGGTTAATTTCGCGGAGGTGAAATATGGAAAGACTCACTGTGGCTTGGCTCTACTGACCCTGTTTATATATATTGCCTGTGGCCCACGGGTTACTGACTCTCTCTTGATGGTGAGGTGTGTGTGGGGGGGGTGTGTGTGTGTGTGGGGGGAGTGGGGTGAGTGTGTGTGTGTAGGAGGGTGGTGTGTATGTGTGTGTGTGGGGGAATGTATGTCTGTATATTGTGTTATATGTGTGATGCGTGTATGACTCTCTCTCTCCTGGATTTAATAAAACAACCCAGGTGTGACTCCCCAGGTGACAGGTGGACAATATTAGCGATTTTCCTTGTGTGTTCGTTCATGCTGACGTGTTTGTTGTTGTTGTTGTTGAGGTGGTTGTTGTTATTGATGTTTGTTTGGTTTTTGTTATTTTTGTTGGTGTTGTTGTTATTGTTGTTATTTTTATTGTTGCTATTGTTGTTATTGTTATTGTGGTGTGAGAACTAACATCTTAACTCAGCTCGTTCCCTCACCGCCATCAGTTGCAATCGTAAGTCACCTTGAGAATCCCAAAGCCAGGTTAGGTTAGGTTAGGTTAGGCCAGGTTAGGTTAGGTTAGGCCAGGTTAGGTTAGGTTAGCCAGGTTAGGTTAGGTTAGGTTAGGCCAGGTTAGTTAGGTTAGGCCAGGTTAGGTTAGGTTAGGCCAGGTTAGGTTAGGTTAGGTTAGGCCGAGGTTAGGTTAGGTTGGGTTAGGTTAGTTGGGTTAGGTTGTGGGGTTAGGTTAGGTTAGGTTAGGTTAGGTTTGGTTAGGTTAGATTTGGTTAGGTTAGGTTAGGTTAGGGTTAAGTTAGGTTAGTAAGTGTTGTAGTTGTTGGTTTATTCGCTTTTGTAGTGTTAGTTGCTGGTGTTGTAGGCAGCTGGTGGGGCCCTTCCTAACACAGTGTTCCCAGACAAGGTAAAAGCCTGTAA